CCTTCCTCCTGAACTAGTACTATTGGTGGCTAAATGATGTGCATTTTATTTTTGATGGTAAGGTTTTTTTCAAATTATTGTATTGTACATTTTTTTCAATTGCAAACATGTTCTGCTGTGAATTAAGTTTTAAAAAGTTCTAGAACTGTCTGAACTAATCTTCAAATACAGCATGTTGAAAGAGTGGCAACTTATAACTACTGCAAGCTCTGACTGAGGTGAGAAATGACTGCGGCAACTTGTTGCAGTGGGAACTTGTGACTGCGGTCACTTCAGGCTGCAGTCAGTTGCAGCAGCAGCAAGTTAGGGTGCAGCAAGTTGAAGTACAGCAAGTTCAACTGCGGCAAATTTCACCCGCACTGAGATTTACAATGTATTTCCCAATATATAAAGCTACCCATGCTGAGTCATGGCGTGCGCTGTACTGTCTGGAGCCCAAGTACATAACTGTATTTCATGTAATGTATCAATTAAGTTCCTTCATCTATGTTGCCTCTGTATTCAGATGACATATTCAGAAATGTGCTCACTGTTTCTTAAATTTTCATTTATTTTCTATTCTTCCAAGCCTGAATTTGGAAGAGAGGAGATCCTATTCGGAATGTTTCCGTGAAAGAAATTATTCGCCGTAGAAATCCGTAATGATGAAACTACCTTGATACGAGAAAGATTAATTACGTTCAAGCACTTCGAGCTTAGAAAAGATCAAATGCCACTGCTCTCCTAGAAACAAGATAGCATGGCTTACCCACAAGGAAGTTGTACCGAGTAGGTATAGAAATGCGAAACGTCGTTTATTTCGACGTCAACTTTTCTAGCCTTGCAGAGAGAGGGCTGTCGTCGAGCGCATGAAAATGCGTTTTGAGGGTGTCAATTGCGAGGAAAGGTTTTCCCGCATTTAGAATCGCTCGGAAATCGATCCAACTTGAGTTACATGGCGTGGCTATGGTATGTCAGGAAAGTGCGTCGGTTTGGAGCTCAGTTTCCTCGAGTTTTATTGATCATTAAAAGAAAATGTTCCGCTTGGATATCTCTATATTTGGCCTTCCGCTTCCCGGAAAGCAAATGATTGATTAAATGCGCGTGAGATGAGGCGAGAATCTTCCCGCGATTAATAGGAGGTTAGTGACGGGGGAAAATGGATACTGTGCTTTTTATGAAACTGCGATAAACATTGCGCTGAGAAGAATATCGCCGCCGTGACGCTGACAGCAAGAACTGTTGAGTGAAGTGAGGCAGTTATGGGACTTCATGAAAAGTGTTCCCTGCAACTTCTTGTGTTCGTATATGGGTTCCGGGTCGGCCGCCGCAGGCGTCATCCCTCACTCCGAAGTCCGGTCACATTCCGCTCACAGAAATACCCCTCGCTAGTAGGTGTTTAGGTTCGCAGCTGCCTGCAAACCTCGTAGGATAAGCGCAGAAGTTTGCGAAAACGGAATTAGATTGATGGCTTTACGTGCGAAGTTTAAACAAGGCGATCAGACCCGCCGCAGAGTAAGACGGAGAGATAATTTATGATTTTACATGGGCGAAAGAACCGAGGGCGAAGAAATTTCTCCCGCGCGAGAAACTTCAGAGTAGCATCGTAATATGACGAGCCCCTTCGAAATTTTCTGCGTGTTGAATATCAAACATGACAGTCCAATGAAGAGGAAGGTTTCCCGGCGCGCGATAAGAAATTAAATTCCTTCTATTTTGCATGAAGAAATCACGTACCAGTATTCGATGGAGGAAGGAATCCATGTCCGCGAATACTCCCTCCCCTCCTCCTGTGTAAATTGATCTTTTCATTTTTATGACTCTTGAATTGCATTATTTGCAGAGATTAGCGTCGAGTTCGATTTCTTTGTGAATGGATTCTCGGTGTCATCACTTGATAGACTCGATCTTATCTTATTTTTGACGCTCATTGTTATGTACAGTGAAACACCGTAATAGCTATGTTTTTGTATATATTGCTAGATTCAATTACATATTTTAACTGCGAGTTTCCGAGTTTCAAGATGTTAAAATTGATAGTCTTCCGAATAGACTTGAATTTTTTTTTCAATGCCAGTCCGGTCCTTGGAATTTTTTCTTGTTTTATTCCACCCTATCCTTCTTGTGTTTTTTGACGCTAGCAAATTTTATCAGGGAAATACAGTACTGTACTTGGGTAAATGGAGTCAGGTAGAGAGATAATTGATTTTGCTTGAACTTTCTGTCAGATGACAGTTTTTTCTCCCCCACCCCGCATTTTCTATTTCAAGACAATTGGCCTGAACCGTTTCATAGTTTCTGAAAAAGAAAATGCGGAGCTGATCGTTTTCAGGAACTTAAATTATCCATACTGGATATTTGACTCCGACGAACAAGGGACTTCATATTATGATAACTAGGAAGAAAATTTGGAGAAAACCACTGTATGCTTGGAAGATTTTTTGCTGAAGGCCCGGGAAATCAGAACCGACTGTGGAATTTTGAGAAAATCGATGTCCATTCGAACCCGGTGAACTCGCGCACATCCGCGGAAAACCCTCAACGCTAAGATTCCAGTTGTGAATCGACTTTCAAAAATCTTCATATGCACTACTGTATGAGCAAAAGAGACCATCCTATTCTTCTCTAATGCTGTGATGGTGTACAAACTGTATACCATTGCTGCGATGGAACGGAGGTTTTGTGTCACAACCGTTTCCGTCGGAGGTTCGCCGACGAAGCAGCTGTTGCTCCTTTTTTTCGGAAAAATGGTAGTGATTGATGAAAAAAGAACGACAAGATGACATTTTTCCCATCGTGTGTCTTCCTCAAGTGTTCCGCTGAACCCAATCCGTATAGCGATCTTTTGTTTACTGTGAAACTCAAGTAGCAAAAATACTATTCGCGCCTTCCTCTTGTTTGTTGATCGGAAGGTCCCTGAGTGGAACTGACGTATCTGCTTGTTCGCTCCGAGATGAAGCTCCCAGTTTATATTCAGCCGTTCTCAAATTGCCTCTTGGAATTCACGGGCGAAGTGCGTTCCTGCTTCGTTCCATATTCGTGTGGAATTCCGTATCAAACGTCTCTGTGTTACAGTTCCCGCAGTTTGTAACCTTTCGCAGTATTTTTTCGATAGACTCTCGAATTGCCTGATTTATTGATATGCAAGCTTCATTTGCCGCTTGCCAGCGTTCGCAAGGTTTAGATAATGCCCCCATATAGCTATATATATATATATATATATATGTTGATAACTAAACCGTTAAAACGAATTCCGGCATATCAGAAAAAAAAAATCACTACATGAGTATCAAAGAAGATGCATCACAGTTCATAAAAATACATGAATAATACAAATGCATGAAATCTTCTTTTCATGTTGTCATCTTTTTTCTTTTTTAAAGACAAAATTTGCTAGATCTAATCCGAGCTGAGCTTCTTATGGTACTGCGCGTTTCTTCCTTGCGTCGGGAAGCATGCAATGCTGTAGATTTTATCGATACAGAGGACTTGTACGAGCACAATTTAGCTTCGACGCAATGAAAGCTTGGATTGGTTTCTTTTCAATTTTGTGAAGAACGTCAGTGGCATGTTTCGTATCATTTGCGACGAAGAGAACAAAATCGGGGATATCCGCACTTCTTGCTTCAAGATACGTCATCATTTTATTAAAATATTCTGTATCGAAATGCAGGACTGTATCAGCTCCGAATTATAATGGAAGTTAACTCCTAGAAACTGTTGGTCATCGCTGAAGATAGATGTCAGTTGTTTCAAGAATTTTTTAGCGTCGAAGACCTAAAAAATAAGCCAGGTAATATTTTTGGAATTGGTACATATCCTAGCTGAGATGAGCTCTTTTCTTTCGGAAGACTTCTTGCATATTTTGATTTTATACGCTGCAGCCATTCGGCGAACGGTAACCTTTTACTCGGTATATTTTTATTGACTGCTTTTCGCATATTTTTCTGCCTGGACTAGTCTGAACTGGTCTGTAAATTGACTGCGCAATGGGTATTCTGCTCTTCGTGGGATTCCTGCCACATGTTCTTGTGAAAAGTTCCAAACTCGGAAGCAATTTTTCTCGAATTTAAATATTTTCTTGTCTGTCGTAACATCCCGAGGCCGTCGAGGCCACTCAAGAAATTGGCATTTGAATGCCAAATGACCCCCGCGCTCGTTAAGGGTGATCAGTTATGCCTATTTCTTCAGCGAGACGGCGAGGAAATTGCGCTGAGCGCCCGAGTACATCTGCGCGTTGAGACCAGGTGAAGGAAATTGCCGGAGAAGTAGAATGCTGAAGTATTCGCGTACGGAGATGGGGGTCTTCTTTTATCTGGCGGGAAATACCTTGTACTTTTCGGTGTACATTCAATCAGATTATCATTTTCCCGTCAAACTGTCGGATTCAAGTTGCTCATTCCACAAGCAGCTTCATACTGGGGCGAACGAAGCCCTTTGAACTGAACTTCTCGATTTTTGACTACTGTTTTGCGTTGGGATTCGTGAAATTAAAAGAAATACTGTTAAATTTTTCGAAGGGAAATATTTCTTATTTTCAAATGACTGGTGTTTCCGCGAGAAGCAGCCCATTGTACTGTACAATAGTAATAGTTTATACGTATACTGTTGAATGAACTGTGCAGCACTTATTTGAAACAAGTGTACTCTAAGGCGACTTAGTTTTATTCGGTGATACTGAGCAGTTTGACATTCTGCAGGATTGAGTAGGTACAGTACTTCTTTCAAAGAGCTCCATTAGTGTTTCCATCGCATACGTTTTTTTTCGCGCTATCCTCCGGTATTTAAAATTTTTGGCATTTCAAGAGTGAACTTATACAATATTTTTGACATTTTCGATCTCACATTTCGTGAAACTGGGTTTATTTTCTCGGTATTATTTCGAGTAAAATGCGGAAGTGGTATTTTGGGCCAATTTTGTTCGGGCCTGCTCCTCTACCTTTACAAGTCTACATAACCTGAAGCTTAATAGTTGATCGTTGCTGCTTATTTGGGGTTGATGGGGTGCTATTTCGTTACAGCTTGCTGCTGCAAAGGGATTATGTCTTTGACGGAGGAGCTGAACTCTGCAGTCAGCTTGCTCCTGAGCCTGGAGGACCATGTATTCCAGGACGACGAAATTCCCCGCACTCAGCGCTCTCGAATGAAGCAAGATTTCGGATTCTTGCTGTCGGTGCTGGACAATCCATTGTTGCGGGAACTGGTTGGCATTCGGGACTCGCTGGGACAACTGGGCCGTCAGATTCAAGAGCACCCGTCGCTGCTCCCCGAAGACTTCGACATCGAGAACGGGGAATTGCTTCTCACGCTGCCGTTGCCACCATCAGAACAGGCATCTGCTGCCAGTGGCGGCAAAAGAAGTTACGCCGACGACGATGTCGGCGATGAAACTGGTACGGACGCGAGTGAATCTTCCGACGAGTCTAGTACTGCGACATCTGATCCGCTGCCGGAGGTTGGTTTATGAGTATTGGTTGTTCTCTGCTTATTCCTGTTCTTTCTCTTCTTGCTAGTTCACAATGTCTTGAATATAGTAAGTACGGATGCTTGAGGACATGCCTTCTTTGCACAGAGTGGACCAGAAATAAGTAGGCACATTTTTTAAGCGCGGAAACTGTGACGAGAAAGCTGAATTTTGCCGTTCTTGGAATCTCTATCTGGTTACCATCCTGTCAAAAATAAAAATAAAAATTTGCAGAAAAATGCACGGATAGATCAGTGTTGAAGCTTTATTGAACTTGAAGTGGTCGAAAAAACAGGCCATTTGTGTGTGGCTGACGACTTGTACGCTGTACATAGCCACACATATGTGTGGCAACCCTTCTTACGGACACCGCCTCCCCCCAATCTTCATAAGCATGCGACAGCTTGTCTATGTGCTGTATTCTGTTCCAAGGCGAGTGATGGTCGTATCGAAGTGCAATACTGTACTTGAAATAATGCAGAACTCAAAATAAATTTGAATGCTCTTGAATTTTTCGTTTTAGAAAGCGTAACAGCTTAAACCGTCCAAGAGGCTCGTACTGCAAATCTTACTTCCCAGAACGTATCGATATGTCGGAACGTACACATGTTACATCGAATTTTCCCTTTGACTGCGATGGGCATTTTTTAAAGCCACTTTTCATGCACAGCAAAAATTCGAGAAGTCCCTAAACATTGAATACATTTTTTTCAACTCCGAAAAAAAAACACAGAAAACTGCGTTAAAGGAACCACGCAAAATCTGCCGGATTGACATGGAAATCAGTCCCAAAGAAGAAAAAAAAAAAACCGCCACACATTGTGCTATATTTTACATTTGATGAAAAAACCCCGAAAAAGAGAATCAAAATTATTCCTTTTTGAAAAAGAATAGTGACAAATGTATGAGGAAATTCATTATGAATTTCTATTCGTTGTAGTGGCTTAATTTGTTTCAAGGTACAAAAATTTTTAAAACAATCTTTTCGTTTTTTTTAATTCTGGCGCATTGTCCGTATTTCGGGCGGATTTCTTCAAGTCAAATTGTTCTCTTGATGGGTTTTTCATGGAAGCTTCATTTATTTATATCAAATTATTGACTGAAAATTTTGAAATTTTCTTCACAGGCAGGGAAAAACACTGTGAAAGAAAATATCCTGGCAACATCACAGCGACATCAACTTTGAGAAAATACCAATACAATATTGTCTTCTCAATTAAGATTTTTCCATCCTGCAAACAACGATTTATACCCGGATCTCGCATGGAGGGAAGATAAAGATATCTGCAGTAAAAATACACAACGTTTAGCATTCTTTTCTTGTGTGCAAAAGTTTACTGTTGCTTAGATTACGGTGGGTTTTTGACGATGGTTCACATTGATACACTTGAACGCTGGAAACATGCAAGAATGTTTCATCCAAATTGAATCAAAATGCACAGTTCGGCACCTAGTGTAGTTGGGAGAGACTTACACTTTGAAGAAGACAATTCTAGTTGGAGCTAAATCTTTTGAAATCGGAAATGGAAAATTGTGAACACATCAAGCCTTCATTCAAAATTTGATTATGGCTTCTGTCCGATCCAAAACTCATATTTTTTCTGTTCTTGCAAAATGTGTGAAGGAATAAAAAGCATTGTGTTGTTACTTTTAGAGTAAGTCATATCAAAGAAACGCCGGGAACAATATTGTTCACTATATAACCTTGAAAGCTTCAGACCATTTAGAATTGCTTGAAATATCGAGTATTCGTGTGATTTCAATTCCAATTGCTAACCGCTCAGATTTGTTGAAGCCTGCAAGTTTGTAATTTTAATTTTCTAATTTTTTTAGTTGAGTGTTATTCAAAATTGCCATGAAAATTTCATTTTGAGGCTTAACAACGCAAAAATCGCATATAGTTCGAAAGCCTTCTCTGAATTTATCTTGCTAAATTTAGTTTTGCAACCTTGAAATATTTTGAGAGTTCTCAATTTATGTGTATAGAACCCTTTCTCCTACTCCGGATAACTTTTTTTTAATGTTTTTTTTCTTCAAATGACCACCATACTCACGCTGTACGAGTATTACAATATTGTAATCAATGAATTTAAAGGAAATTGATTTCAAGGAATTAACTAACGTTCCAGTGGAGGCGGAGTTCTTTTTCACTTTTGTTCAAAATAAATTGACATTTCAAAATCGAACCAAATTTTGTATGGGCCACCGAACTACTGTAGTAAGATTCAAAGGGGCCTGTTTCTTCTTGAAGAGCGCGATAAGATGGTTCACGTCTCACTTGTATTCTGGGTCAGATGATCCTGGTTCAAACGTGGCCAAATGTCTCACACATCATTGTTCAGAGAAAATGTATATCCCCTTGGATCTGCGGGTAGCGTACTTCATATTTTACTTATATCTTTTTTCGGCCAAACTGGAGCTTTTTGATTCATGTTGACAGGGATGAGAAGCTTTTATGATCTCCAGATTGATGCAAGCAGCTTGGGACTGAGAGCCTCGATTGAGCCCCTCTGTGCCGCTGAGCGAAAAGATTCCGATGCAAGTAGCTTGCGTCGGTCATGGAATCCCAGTGTCCTCAGTTCTAGATTTTTTTTTTCTACCAGAGAACCACAGTTATTTTTGGGAGCATATTTACCAGATGCAATAATGTCGTTGTTTGTTTGCTCAAGCAAGCCGACAGCACCGTATATTTTACTCTACAGTATATTGTTTCGTATTTGATTCAATTGTAATGTAAAGGGACAATGAATTAATTAATGTCTCACTCAGTTTTACTCTTATTACTCATCCGAAGTCAAAAATGCTGTTCTGGAGGATATTTTTCGTGGAATCCATCCCAGCGGTTCTTCCGTGACCAGAGCTCGTTTTGCAGTTGAGTCTTCGATGCGGTTGAAAATGCCGACTGTACATTATGGTGATAATGTATTGCGGTGTGTTGAATTGTACAGTATACGGCGACTTTCTGTGTTACGAAAATGGTTTTCCCTCTGAAAACTTTTTTAGAATCATAATTTATTTCAAAATTGAACGAATCTCTGCCATTCATAATTTTGAAGTGTTTCTGTGCAGGTTGAGTTGAGAAGGCAAGTTTGTCACGTTTCTTGCCGTGTTATTCACGAAACAGAAGTTCATTCATGTGAGGTGGTAAAAAAAAAAAAAAATCAGGATTGAATCCGCACATCCATGGAAGCATTGAGGGTTGAAGAATAATGCTGCATGCTTCACGTGCTGGCGCTGCTCTAAATTCAGTGCTCAATATTTCTGAATTCCACTACAGTACAGTATAGAATCGTCAAATGTTCAAATTGCAGTTAAAATCAACATACACTCGCAAGATATCCGTTGGCCGCATTCATCACAGATTTGTTTTTAAAATGGCCGCAGTGTGTTCGTTCCAATCTAGTTACATGGAGATCAAATGTATCAATATTTTGAGATGATTCATCGAGTCTTATTATGGTGTATTTTCATGGTGGTAGCTGAACTTTGGATACCTAGTACAAAATGGAAACACATTCTGAAAATTTTAAGAAACCGTGATTCAGTGAAAATCTTTTAGTCCGGATTCACACACATCTGTAAGGGGTTTGTCGAAGTTTCTCAACTCTCACCTTGACAATTTGGATTCTTTGATGGATCATTATGGGGGTTGGCTCTGTGGGTTGTGTATTGGGTAGGCCTGGTCAATGGCATTAATATTTAGTAATATCAATGTTCAGCGAAGTGGGGCAAGCTGCGCAATTGTTTTGAATTGGAGCAGCTATTTCAAATTTTTGATCTGTGGTCAGTTGCACTCGTTTACCCTCAACAAATAATTTTGCTCGCGTCCTGAGATCAACGCATCTGAATGATCCCACAGTCAACTCAAGATTTCCTCTTCTAGGTTAACACGATTTCCTCTTCTAGGTTAACGACCTTGAACTTTCCACTGTACAGTATTTACTGCGCAGTTCATTTTGTTCACTCGTGTGTCTAAAATTGGGCGATGATTCTTGTCAGTTATATCGCCGCATCCTGTGCTGGGAGTGACAGTAAATCCCCTTCCCGACGCGTGCCAGGCCCGCAGGCTGCCTCGAATATTTTGTGAGGTTGCGGGGCGAAATTTGCTATGAAATTCAAGTGCGTAGATTGTTCCGTGATGCGACGCAGATTCACGAGGATTAGCAAAACCTTTCGGCAAATCCTCCGTGAATGATTGCAGTGTAGATAAATTTTAATGGGTTTCTGACGGAATTCGGTTGTCGTAAGGCACACAATTTCCCCTTTTTCGGGGGCTGCTCTTCAGCTTGATTTCGGCCGTAAAAATGACTGAACGTGCTTCTTAGGTGGCATGCGTGCGTTGGCTGAGCGCATAAGCCCCTGAATTCGCCGTGATGAGAATGAAGGGTTCCAAGCAAGATCCAGTCCGTGGCGAAATACGTTGATGTATGATTCCAATGGTTCGCGTTTTTTTTTTCGTTTAAAAATCAACACTGTCAGACGCATTTACTGTTGATCGAATATGGTAAGCTATTTATCTGCTGGGAATTTCAGCGCTTCTCTTGCACTATTTTCTAGACGCGTTCTCCTTGCTGCCGATTTTCACCAAGGCATTCACCCCAGATTGAGAACGTTGTAGTTGTGCAATATCCATAATTCATGTACAGCTCGTCAATTCTTTGCGGTTTTGTGTTCTTAGTCTAATTCTGAAGTCTCAATTTCACGCTTTCTAATCGCGTTTTTTTACTTCCTCCACCGATATTGACATTTTTAGCACATTCGGGAGCCATTATCTTTTAACACCTCAGGTACCACCTGACTTTGTGCCTATACTCCACTCAACATCTACTTATACGCTACCAATGGCTGAAAATCCCCAGGTATACTGTTGGCGTACAAAAATAAACCGAGTTGTATCAGCCGTATCTCCTGAACGGTTTGATCTATCCCGTTCAGGATTATCTTGAGATTTTTTCAACGTTTTTCTACAGCTTTAAGCAGACTAGGCCACCCTGTAGATGCCAACAGTTACAGTATTTCATCAACGTTTCCTGCTGTGCGTTTTGTCGGTGTTTATTCCTTAGTCTACTTACAGTTGTGTCCTTGAAATATCGGTAAGATCAGTCGGAAGTTGGGATCGTGTAAGTTGTGAGATATTGTACAGTCGGCGTTCCTTGCCCGTTGAAGCGTTTTCTTTGTGAGCTCGATTTCGTGGAAGTCGTCAGATTCAACGCTGTCGCACTGCGGAAGGAAGGGAAAACCTGTGCACGGCGGTGATACTGGCCAAACGAGACCATAAATGTTAGCAGGAGCGTAAAAGCTCGAGAGATTCGCGTAGGATATTGCGGTGCTTCTACAGCCGAGATATAACATGGAAGTCAACATGAATAAAGAGGAGTGGAAGCTGCCACAATATCAGTAGCATGATTCCATCTTCGCTTTCATGTTTACGCGTGGGAGAAAATACTGCCACTGCGTTCTCGTAGCCAAGAGCGAGATACGCTTTCTTCTATGACGTCTGACGTGGAGGGACGGAAAAAAAGTTACTTGAAAGAAAAGCGACGCTTTCCTCGAAATTTTGCAGTGTCCCAGGACGAGCTGTTGTGCCAGGGGAACAATTTCCGTTTTTCTTCTATCATCGGAATATTCGGCCGCTGTTCCCAGCGAGTCGGATGCTTGGGAGTTTCCGCGCGAAGGAACGGTAACTAGACCTTTTCCGATTTCGTTCACCGTTCGTCTGTAAATAACCCGCTGCTCCCGAGTTCCGCGTCTGGCGACTCGATTCCCTTGCCGACGACGCCGTTCGTTTGGAAATACGCGGCGCTTGCTGGTGCTGGCGTCAGTCCGCGGTTTGTGCGCGCTCTGAAAGTGACAGGAGTTTCTGGTGTGGTTCGGGTTCCGGCGAAATAAATTGCCTGGACGAGGTTACGCTTGGAAGGGTTGATCCAGGACCTCTGGTCAGTAATGCAAGTACAGTACGGTAAATGGACGCGTGCCGTCACACGCTCTTTCTTTGTATTTTCCGTTCGAAAATGTCGCGTTGTCGATTGGTCTCATGTGGAAGGCTTCCGAAATCGCATTCACATGATTATGGGCCACCTCCGACTATCTGACTTCACGCTGCTTTTGGGCAATCATTTCGAAAAACCGTACAGGCACCAAAATTGGGATTTTTCGAAATGTATTTTATAAAATTGCGAAGTCTGCTGATAATCCCGTGAGACTTCCATTTTAACTGTAGATCTTCAAGCTCGAGTGTAAGTAGCAAATATTGAAACAAATGTAGGCCGCACTCGAGGTTTCGAAATTTATGTTTTGGACGGAAGTGCGGCCTATGATCGTGGATGCGATTTTTCTCCGTCTGAAACATGTCATGTTTCCGTCTTCTCCTTCCCCTGTTTCCAATTTTCTGAGGAGAGCTTCGTGGTAAAACAGCAGTTACTGATCGTGTGGAGTGATAGAAACTGGACATTTTATGACGTGCTTGATTTTTTTTTCGTTCTTTATTACGGTATTTCATTTCAGACCGTGAATTCTTCAATGTCATCGAATTTTCCGAGTGATGTAGTTCTGGAATTTTTTTTTCGATTGACTATTCTCATGTGCGCTTGTGGTACCCCCGACCCCCAGACTTTTGATTGACAGTTTCTGCTTCCGGCACATGCATATTATATTCGATCCAACTCGTGGGTAGCCGCATGAAGCCAAGCCATCATTCTCTTGAATAGGCGGTTAAATTTGATATTCGTAGTGTCCATTTTATCGACCATCTCTTGAAGGAACGGAAATCATACTTCCGAAGGGGTTGGAACGAGGATGATATGAGTCTCTCTCCCCCCCCCCCCCCCCCCCCACCCCCCCCCCCCCCCCCCCCCCCCCCCCCNGATGATGTGAGTCTCTCTCCCCCCCCCCCCCCTCCTTATCCTGACCCGACGATACGATTTGGCCCCTATTTTGAAGAAAAACCTTCGTGGACGTTGGAGTATAACTTTTCTTGTTGCATTCCTGCCAAACATTACCATCCATTGACATTGCTGAAATAGATAACTGACTCATATTATTGGTCGAATAATCTGATTTGTGTTCGGAGTTAGATTGTTGAAGATCGACAGGATATTTCATTAGAGTGATTTTTAGTGGAGGGGTTGTTCCTCAATCTCCATTTACCGTGCATATTGGGACTTGGACAATTTCCTTCCTAGCGTATCATCCTCTCGAATGCATAATTATCTTTGTGGCCATGACTGATGATACTCACCCAGTCGTACTCCTCGCATGTCCGAATGATCCGGGGAAAGGAAGCAATTCATGCCCACGATTCTTAATCCGACTCTAAGTTGAATTTCAATGCTTTTTGCATGTCGGCAATTCGAAGAACTGTTTTTCGCTCAGTTCGTTGCACCAGGTGTTAGTTTCTGAATTATTCAGGATATTCTTTGATGAAAATGAAAACTTAACTTCTCAAGTTATTGTGTTCGCTGTATTGTCAGTTTCACAAATGTAAATATTCATTAATTGTTGTTTTGCTTTGAATTCCAGGCTTGGAGTGGTCACTGTCATGATGAAACGCAGTCGAATCGCCCGCCGTCGAATCGTTCCGCCGATTTTAACCCCTCTCACGAGGTCGACTCGTCGCTGTACGGCCGTCGAGAGATACACTCCATCGCGGTTCGCAAGCCTCCTGGATCCCATGGGTCGGGCATCAGTTTGGTTGGCCTCAGAAGCGAGCTCCGCGGAGATTTGGGGATCTACGTCCAAGTGAGTTCCAGCGCCTTCGTTATCCAGATGAACGCCCTTCCATTAGTGCTTGTCATTGCACGAATCCTCGGCTAGTTGCGCTTACTGCCCCTTCCGCCTACCGCAATTTCTTTTTCGTAAGTTCTAGGCTCAAATTGGATGCGTGGATAGTACCGTTTCCGGCTTTCATGTCTTCTAAACCTCTTCTGGAAAGCTAAGTGGGTCTGGAACTGTTCCTTAGAGTTTCATCTGAAGTTTATCAGTGGAAAAGTTCTTGCTCCGAGCAATGTGGATCCAAGCTTGTATATATATGACTTGATATTACCGTAATGTTCTCCAAACGCAATGATGTAATCTTGCTTTTCCATCCATGGGGTTTCTTGAAGCTGAATGCGTGAATGGTTGTACCTGTATAATGTTTCAAATTGTCAAAAGAGCAAAGTATATTTTATTAGCATCAACGCGGTAGTGCTAGAATGGTCATTCCTAATGCCTGTATAATACTAAGGCCTTGCAAAAATTTTCCGGAGACATGCAGTCACCGAGGGTGAAGTGTGGGTGGTATTCGGAATGACGGATTTTTCGGGAAGGTATCTGGCGATTGACGTGCTTGACGTACATTTATTACGGGCTAGTACTTGTTCTGCCGAAAGCTGCTCTTCTTCGATTAAAACCTGCCTGCATTACTTCCTTTATTGCGGGATAACTCCAAGTTTTATTTCGATTCGAAGCTCTCTGTTTAGATCAAGACTCTGTGCGCTTATCTCTCGGGAGAGTGTTCAGTGGCTTTTGATGTTTTCCTTCAGTTTTACCGCTTTCATCTGGTCCTGATTTTTCGCCACGTTCTCATCGCTTCTTATTATGCCGAGGGACGCTTCGACAGTTTTTTTATCCGTCGTTCGGACTCCTGCTGTTGATATTTCGGAGCATCACGATTCCGAAGAAAGCTTATGATGCTTATATTTTTGAAATACTAGTGGCTGGAAAATACGAAAAAAATTATCTTTTATAAATCCTCGAGCTGCGGTCGCGAGTACAGTATTTCAAAACGCAATGATAAAAAGTGGTCTTGTATGCCAATGATTCCGTTCAATCGAAATTTCAGTAGATGTGTAGTATTACGGATTGATCTTCGGCCAAAATTTGAGTTGCGCTTTATTCCATTTCCTTCGTTTTTCGATTTGAACGTCGCTGTGTTTTGTATTCTGAGTTCGTTCGAGTGATCAATACTTCTAAGAATTCGCGTCGTAAAAAATTTGGTCGAACACTCGAGCGCTTGGTTTGCAATCAGCCTTCGAGAAAGTAGCGAATACCATGCCTCCGGAATTACTTTAAAAATTTACTGTATCGTGATTCGGGAAGAACTACTGTACTTGAATTTTCAATTCTTACCGCTACAAAGTTACCAAAATTCAAGATCTATTTCCAATTTCTTCAAAGTTACCTTGAAAAGTTGAATGATTGCAGAAACTGCTTCTGAAAGTGAGACTAATTACAGTATTGAAATTCAAGCGCAATTTTGAAGTGATGGACGGTACTTGAGTTCACTGAAGTCGGAATGTCAATTATCTGTGGAATGTATAACGGGGCGTTTCCATCGATTATGTTGCTATATTTTTAGCAGTCTCTAATACAGTACAGTATGTTTTAGAAATCCGCGTGTTTACCATTAGTAACCAAGTTTGTTCCAAGTTTGTAGAGCTGCATTTTGTCGTAAGTCAATATTTCATGATGTTCCGTGAGTTGGACCCCGGATGTGCCCTAGGGCTGATTGATTCCAGGCTTGTAACTTCCTCTTCTCTTCTTGTTCTTGATGAATCTGTGGCGAAGTTCGTCGCGTTGCTCTCATGCGAATCGAACGAGCATCGATTCCTGTGAGCTAATGGACAGAAATGGCTCTCGAACGGAACGCCGACTTCCGGATCTTTTTGAGGAAAAAAAGACAAAAAAATCGTCGGAGTTGCATTAATAATACCATTTTTGTCAAAAACGAAATTGTTGAATTTCGGAGGCTTTTTTCTCGTTGGCGAATATATTATTCTAGTAGATTACGTATATCGTCGTGTATGGGAGGTTGTTCCACTTTTGCGTATAGGAACATTTCCGATAGGAATTGTTCAGCAATTTAAAATCAGCAGCTTTCTTCTGGAATGAATTTTAATCCTCAATTCTCATTGTGAAGGATTGAACCGTTTTTTTCGGACCTCGGGATTTTAAGGTGAATTCGTGGTGAAATAAAAACGTGTTCAAATCTTATCGAACTTGACTGCAACAATGCAGGTTTCATGGCTTTCAAACGGGATATTTGCAGTTTTTTATATTAGTGCAATTTACTCAATAAAATACACCAGTTTAAATATATAATTTTGATTCATGGACGCCAGGCAAGCTCTGGAATATCTTTTGGATAGATGCAAATTTGGCTTCCCGGGGAACCCCGTTCAAAGCCCTGGGCGAAACAATTTTGTGCTTAATGTAAAAGCACAGACTGTAAGAAGGAAAATATGGGGGAGCACAAGAAAATAAGCTGATCACGCCAATTCCTGAACTTTGTTGCAGTGGCCAGGTCTGTGATCGAGCATTTCTCGGAATATAGAAACCCTCATCTGTGAGTGAGCACTTCGTTTACGTTATTTCCCTTTCGCGATTTTGTTTCCCTTTTTTTTTGAAAGCGAAATATATTGTGCCGTAGTTTTCCATTCCGAAAAGCATGTATCACGAGCCGCGATATTTTTCTACTGCGGTATTTTTTCATGGTTTGATTGTCGAGTAATGTAATGTGAAACGCTCAGGGCGGATGAATATATTTCTTGGAAATCTCAACGACATTTTACGTAGTACTTGGATCAAATGACCTAGTCCGGGCTTATGAATCCACGCGTCGGGTGATATTGCGCTATGTACCGGAAAAAGAATGCATTTCACTGATCGCATTCAATAGTAAAAAAAATATAGCGCTTTAATTTAATCACGCATTGATTCCAGCTTGGATTTCATTAAATCTGGTCCACCCTTTCCGGAAATGCCGATCCAAAGAATGTGTGTTTCAGTTGAAGAGAATCACTTAATTATAAAGAGACCAATTTTTTTTGTGGGGGGGGGTATTTATGTGATCATGCGTTTCAAGTTCAAGAAAAAATTAAATACGAACAATCTTCGTTTTATTAGCTGCGTGTTAGAAGTGTTCAGATATGGGGTTATCAGGGTTTCTTTTATCAAAGTCCCTGTCCCGTCCAATTTTGTATAATTTATAGCAGTCGAAGAAGTTCGAATTTTCGAAGCGTGGAGGATGTGAGTATTAGAGAACGGTTTTCATCTGCCGTGCTGACAATTAGCAGCAGCGTATCTGCGATTACAGGGTTTTGCGCATCAGAAAAGCTGGTGAGAAAAAAAAATCCTGAAGCTTATTTAGAGATCCTTTTAGCCCTTGACGGAATAGGATTCTTTGCGTATGAGATGAAAACGTTCGCTGCGATCTCTTGGATAATACCGCGTGAATGATCTCTGTGGGCGGGCCTTTACTGACAGTCAATGCGTTGACGTCATTCTGGATTTCGCGAGATGACCAGAATAGAGCTTGAATTTCATCATGAATTCTGGAGTTCAGGGCGTTGATGTTTACGATGCTGTCGCCCGCCACAATTGGCGCCATTGTGGAAAGTCCGTCTTGCTTCCACGTGTAGGACAATGCGATGGGATACTGTTTCAATTTTAGCTTGGGAAAACGCTGTGGAGTATATTTCAGGTGACGTTTCGACACCGCCTTCAGCTTTCTCCTTTTTTGTTTTTCGTTTTGTTCCCGTGGCGTTTGTGTCCAAGCCCTGCTGGGAACTGTGCTGTTTATCGGACTTACAAGCAGTGCGTTTTATCGGTGTGGGCGGAGCCGATCGGCTTTTGTTGCTAGGACTGCGAACCGGCGCAGGAAATCTCCACAGTCCAGTCATCCCGACGTTTGCTCAGCGGCTTCGTTCTAATCGCTGAAGAATTTTGGACGTTGAACTTCTTTCCCGCGTTTCATGGCGCTCGTCGTCGCAGCTGGGCAACCACGTGAGACGTGGATAATATCAGCCTCGGCTTGTGGTCGTTGCAGGTATACAGTATCCCGTGGATCGTGCGTTGTGCCGAGGGCTTTGTTGCTTCCTCCAAGCACGGCTTTGTCGCGTACGACTGTGCCCGTCCGCAGCTGATGACGCTGATTTCTGAGTTCGTGTTGGCGAAGCATCGGGAGAAGCTCCTCTTCCGCACCGCCGTATTTCTGAGAGTCCTTCATACAGTAAACTAATTTTCAGAACACTTCGGGCTGTGTCAAGGTATTCCAGAAGTCTTCTTTTTTTCTTCCTTGCGCCTCTCTTTGACACGAATGCAAGCTTGATGCGATTAACTAAACGCGAACACTGTCACTATTGTAAACCATGTTCTTACGAGTAAGCTGTGCTGACGTGATGTGATAAATTGAGCCTATCTGAGAAAATGTCTCAGAATTGTGCTGTCTTGGCTTTGAAACGTGAAACGCGAAACTTCTCGCTGTGTTAGAAACGGTGAAAAGTGAAGCATTGCTGTAATTCTTGATTTAGAAACCCGTTGAGTGTTTTTCCGAAGCGAGATAATCTCTCATGAGTTTAAGAACCTATTTGTTAATAGTTCGGAGCGATTGCAATTATTGTTTTATTCATCAATGGACGGCAGTAATCCCCCTACCCCACTATCTATTTTTTTCGATGTTCCTGAAATAACTGTCCGGAAGCAGACCATGGCGAATGTTCGTGTGCGGCCTACACTAACAGGTGGCCTATACTGTATTCGTGTAAATGCTGTACTGGTATGTTGTACTGCTCGCGAATTCCATTGGCGATCACGGTTTCGAATTCCGATTTTTCCTTGTTTGAAAAAAAAATGGTTCTCTATTAAATTAATTTGAAAATGGATGGTATTCTTTCTCAACGAGACGAAAATTTCAATTGAATCCATCGCATTCGTTGGAAACTTACCCTCGAAGTAATATGGTTGATCTTCTGCGACCAGGGTAGTTGCATGCTGATTTTCTTAGAAGTGATGCTTTTCCGATTTAAATATATTCGAAGATCGCGTGGGTTCGTTTCTCGATGTCATTACGTTCTATTATTACAGCATGATTTTATCTCGAAGAGAAACTTCGTTGATTCTGGTATGCCTGAGTTGTTTGAAGTTTAGACATTTTGGGCTGATTGAATTGCTTTCCCGCCTTGAATTGTATTGTAGCTCTTAGCTCGCGGAATAGGTGATGCGTTGGACGGCGAAATGTGTTTTTGGCTCAAAGAGAATCGGAAGGCAGGGTAGCTTGATGAATTTGTCTCGTTGCTTCCTTCCAGGAGATTCAATCGGGCGGGATCTGGGGACAAGATGGGCGCCTCAAGGAAGGGGATCAAATATTGAGTGTGAACGGGAGATCAGTGGACTCGCCCCAAGCCCCCATCACTCACCAAGAAGTCATAGACATCTTGCAGCGTGATCAGGGAAGAGTAGAGCTTGTCGTTGCCAGAGCGTGTCCTAAATCGCCGGCCAAGACTGTCTCCGACGTCACGTCGGGTCGACGTTCGCGGTCACCGCGGGGTGTTCGGCGACTGTCATCTGGATCGTCTTCGTCAGTACCTCGCCCTGGATCCGGCACTGCCATGGTCTTCAGTTCCAAAAGTGTCAAAATTGAGGTAAGAAAATTTCAGGTACTCATTAGCTTCATAATTTTTGGCTCACACCCAAGGCTGATCGAAACATCGCTTCTCGTAAAGCAAAGCAGCGTAGATCACGCATCACACATGCCTTGAATAACGTCCGACCCTTGAAGCGAGTTTCATCTGTGAAGCGAACAGGTACAGTATCACTCGAGTTTCACAATTGTAGCTGATCGATTGTAACTAATGGTGCTAGTCTCTGTGCATTGATGAAAGTTCTTGTCGGCAGAAATCGTTTCATTTCTGTGCTTGAACGGTTTTACAGTTTTACAAGACATTTCAAAAGGGGCCCGTCCTCAAAGGAAATTTCATTCGCGTAGTAAAACATCCTTTGTCAACAGCCGTTGCGATAATGGGATCCGTGATTGGATTCGTTGCAAGGTGCTACTGCTTCAAGCTTCAGAACTTTAAAGGTCATCGATAACGTCCGTGAATGTTCAGAGAGAGGCGAAAGAAGTACAGTATAGGATTTGATTGAAAAAAGTTTTAAGGATGCGTTTTCGTGCTCGACATCATCGAGAGAGAAGTTTTGTTTCTGCGTTGTCATCTAAGTTAGTAAGAAAGAAGCGTTTCGTATACTGTACAGTACAGTACTCACGCGCTGATTATCCGTTATTGGGCTCCCGTTGCACCCTAGTTCTACGCTTCAGTGCTCTTGATGCACGTCACGCGGAACATCTTCCATCAGCCCTTACGCTTTCTTCCAATAGCTATATCCCGTATTGCGTCTGATTTTTGTCGGTTCACAATAAAACCCTTCAACTTGTCGATTTCTCGACAGCATTCAGCTGGGATTCAATGCAGGAAATATCTTCGAGTACCCTGACACGAGCTAGTATTCCGCGGGAGTCTCTCACTCCCGATATATGCTGACTCGGAAGATCGCTCGATTTGCTCTTTCTCTCGCTTTATCCCAAAACTTTGTGGATCAATGAATCTGGGTAACTAACTGTTTTCTCGTCACGCTGAGCGCTTGATTTGTCTGTCTCTTTTGTTTTCTCTATGGAAGAGAAAATATGTTTTAGATTTTCACCTTCAAAAGGCTGAAATGTTTATTAAGTTCTACTGAAATGAGTTCTTATCCAGCGCCTTTCTTGGATAGAGTTCCCATTTTCGTTGGAAGAGTCGAGCTTGTGTTCATAAGGGAACTTCAGCTTGTCTTGAGGGTTATCAGAGTCTCTTCCGCGCTATACCCCGCTCCCCCCCCCCCCCTTTTTTCTCTCTTTTTCTGGAAGGATGCGGAATCTCCTTGACGCTCCTCTTCATGCCTCAGTCCTGCTTTATATTTTCCTTGGCATTTTTCTTTGTCTATTCGAGCATCTATTCTGAAATACTTATCCATGGTGAAGCCTCTTTTGATTCAGTAATCTTGCGTTCTCACTGGCGGCCGTGTGCCTGAGGCATGAAACTCGTTCGTGCGAACGTCGAATCGTATCGCAAATTCAGGGCTCATGTTGGACCTTGCAATTCTGCCTAGTGTTTCGTTTTGTCTAATGACTCGTGTTCATGTGCGGTTGCTTGAACGCCGACGTAAAATGCGGCGAAGTTGTAGAACTCAAGCAGAAATGAGCGGGTTAATTGTGTGGCAAATATGTCTCTAAAACTAGAATAAGAAGAAAAAAAAGTTTAAAAATGTGTGCCTCTTTGGTTCTCATCCGATCTCAAGGAGAAGCTGACCAATTACTGTATTTATTCAATAACGTGCCATCAAGCATGGTTTCATCAGGTCTGCGAAAAAGTTCTTTGGGTGACATTGAAAAATCACCAACAACCAGTACGGACATCTTTTTTCTTAGTTTGTTCACCCAGCATCGAGGTGCAGTAGATCCCTCCCGTCTGCAAATAGTTTCTTCTTTGCCTTCTAGTTTCACTCCTCAGTCTTAAGTCATTGGTAGGCCGCATTCAGCTTTTTACTTGTGCGTAAAAATTGATGCAGGAAAATTTGTCATGATTATGAGCGATATCTTCTTGTCTACAATTTTTTTTGTTACATTCAAATAGCAGACCACACCGGAGGCTCATTCTTGATTCAGTTGTAGAAGGGCGTCAGCTCTCCCGAGCCCAGAACTCGCCAGGCTAAACGTTTCAAGTTCTCGAAGACAGTTCCGAAAATTTGACGAAGAGGGCTCTTAGTCCTGAGGCTCATGTGTACGACGAAGACTCGAGAAGATGTCTTGCTTTTGTCAAGATGATGGTAAATAATGTTCCACGCGGAGGCCTGCTAGTCTGAGGTCTTCATCTGTCCTAGAAAATTTATAGGATCCTCGGAAACTGATGCCGTATTTGAAAACGACCTCTTCCTAATCAATTGCTTTCTCGTCATTTAATGTTTTCAGGGTTTTGCAAGATGTTTCATAAGCAGAGATCTTGAAATTATTCTCTGAACTTAAAAGGATTACTTGCGCATTATACTCGTGCTCTAAATCATAATGCCTGTGCTTCACCCTTCAATGCCCATAGTCCCCGTGATGCCTTGAAAGAATTCGCGTGAAAAAATAATTTCCATTTGCTCATGCTCAAAAAGGAGAAGGTATGATAAGTAGGAGGATCCTAGTTTTGGTACCCCGTCGCTCAAATGTACGATAAAAAAAAAAGGTAGAGTGCTGATAAGACCATCGTCCTGTTTTTCTTTCCTCTTATGTTAATCCTTGGATTCTTGAAATTATTCGACTGAATATATCTCCATACCCTCCGGTTTCACGGCTGCCCGGAAAGAGGAAATTAATTTGCTTGTGCATGGGGTCTCCTTGGAAATCAGCGGTATATTCTTGGTGGGTTCACGGCAAAAATGTATCCGTCAGGATGTGCTGTTGACATTACTAATTTCGGAATATCTTTCGGCATCAGTTTAAGGAGGACGCCTGAAAGGTTGCGTTCTTGGGAGAAATTCATCAACACTATCTGCTTTCATTTGCGGAGTAAGGGCGTGCTTCGTCAAGACTTATTCTCGCATATCTTTCCAATGATAATTCGAGAAGAACCGGATGCGCCTTCTTTTTTCTGCCCTGGCGTGATGAAGACTGTCCGGTGCAGTTGAAACTCTTCCGTTCCCACGTTTTGTAAGGCGGTATTTGTGATGGAACACGTGCAGCAAATATTTTCTTGGTACTTCTGTTGAATGCGGGTTTAAACTGGAAGAACGAGTCCGGTTGGGAGCCCCGAAAAGTATCATGGTTTCCTCGCAGATTCGTAATAGGAGACTGGTTGGCGTCTCAACTGATATTCCTCACCGCGGAACGGCAGCCCACTGGAAACCATCCCGGGTTGCATTTCTCATTTTGCAGCATGCACTGATATCCTTTCGCCCACAACACTATTTCTATCCGCCTTATGGAGCATGTAGGCGTATCCGTCGTATGCAGACCCCGATTTGAGCTCGCGTATGTGAGACAGGAGAATATCAGTGCCTTGCCAGCGACGCAAGGATATTACGGCCTTCAAACATGTGTCAGCTGCTTTCCGCTTGTGCGTGTCTGCCAGTAATGTGTCTCTTAATGCTGCAATTGAATGAAGATGGTTGGTTTGTTTGTTCGACGAGTTCGTTAACTTCTGCTGTTTTGCCGAGTTATCTTTCCTTATATTGTGTGACCCCCTCTCGAGCTGCGGATTTGCTCAATCGTTTGGAGACTTGATAAAATCTGATCTAAGTTCTTTAATCTGTTACCCGTAGTAATATTTCAATGACAATGCTCCATCTAATGTATTGCTGATGTCGTTTCTTCTGTGCCTTTAAAAGGTTGGCCATTTCAAAAATTTTTCGTACCCATGATTGAAGCGCTGATTGAATTCGATTAAAGAGTCGTTCTTGTAGACTATGTAGAGGAAAGTTCAGCGCTTGAAACTCTCTGATTTTGATGGTCCTGCAGCCTCGGGAAGTCAACGGTGTCAATTTGAGTGTTCTCCTAAATTTTGTAGAGCGTGAAAAAACAGGCTGTTTGAAATTGTAAAAATTATATCAGCTTGAAGATGACGATGAGCCAATGGAAGAAAGAGACGTTCACATTTTTTTTCAAATCCATAATTTCTGTAAAGGATCTTTTTTGATGAACAAATGTCCTCATGTTTGAAAGAATTTTCCCGCAAAATGAGGCAATAGTGCGAAAGTTCTCATTTTTACCTTGTTTGATTTCTGATCCTGTAGGTAATCGAGTTGAACAACGACGGCACTGGATTAGGATTTGGCATTGTCGGTGGCCATAGTACCGGAGTAATTGTGAAAACGATTTGCTCTGGTGGTGTTGCTGACAGAAGTGGAAAATTGAAAAGCGGCGATCATCTTTTGAAGATTAACAATATTCCTCTGAAGGGAATGGGATCGGATCAAGTGGCATCCGTTCTTCGACAGGCGGGAAATAGGGTCACTTTGGTCGTCGTGAGGGCTTCCTCGGATCCAGATGAAGACGAAGTGGAGCCTCCTCCAGGATTCGTTTCCAGTCATATTGCCAACGATCCTGAACTCCTAGACCAGTACTTGGCCAACTTAGATAGTGGCAGTTGCGTGGCTTCCCCCGAAGGCGAGGTTGATTTTAATGCTACCTCTCCAACAGAACTTCCGGAGGTAGAAACATTCGACGTTCAGCTCAGCAAAGACACTCAAGGTAACGTGGTTCCGCACCTCAACCTTTCGTACGCGATAAAAGACGGAAGATATTACTTCTTTAGGACTAGGCATAACCATTGCGGGATACGTTTGTGAAAAGGAGGGTCTCTCTGGAATCTTCGTGAAAAGCATCAGCCCCGGCAGCGCTGCCGCATTGACGCACAGGATAAACGTCAACGATCAGATTATCGAGGTTGACGGGCAGCCCTTGACGGGCTTCAACAACCACCGAGCTGTGGAACTGTTGCGGAGCACCGGGAACAGGGTCCATTTGACTTTGGCTCGTTATTTGCGTGGTCCTAAATACGAACAGTTGCAGATGGCGATTGCCAATGCACAACCCGCTCCCCAACTCACTGGTTACCCCGACCATCCCGAACCTGCCATTTCACCCGTTGATCCGGTGATAGCGAAATGGACGAGCTTGTATTCGAAGCAACCTGGAACTCCCTCGAAATTTCAAATAATTGTGGCCAATGTTGAGAAGTTCGAAAGTTCGAGCGGTTTGGGCATTAGTCTCGAAGGAACTGTTGATGTCGAAGGGGGATTGGAGGTGCGCCCGCACCACTACATCCGCTCCATTCTTCCCGACGGACCCGTCGGTCTGGAAGGTAAACATAGTCATTAAACGTACGTGAAGCAGTAGAGAGTTCCTGAGTAGTTCTTGAAGCTGAGCAGATTGCTTGTTCTGTCGGAAGAAGTCCCAAGGATCCCTCATGATCCACAGAACTTACGTGTTTTATCGCATTCTGTGCAGGTACTCTGATGCCCGGGGATGAGTTGCTTGAGGTGAACGGCAAAAGGCTGATGAATCTGAGTCATTTCGATGTACTGAAGATCCTGTGTGAGCTGCCAAGGAAAGTTAAGATTGTTTGTGCCCGCAGCGGGTCCCGTTTCCGAGGCCCACAAACTAAAGCTACTTCAAAGAAGGGTCACGAAATGCAAGACGCTTCCCCTCCGGTCCCGACGTGCTTAAGCCCGTTTCTGGTCAAAGCGAAGTCTGACGGGTCTATTGCCTCCAGCCCGACGACTTCCGAAATTGGACCCATGATGCCCGGGATCGGGATAGCTGCCAAGTCAAGATCTTTGGAGCCGCTTTCATCGGGCCTAGCACTTTGGAGTCCGGATATTCAGATTATTGAGCTAATTAAAGGTGACAGGGGCCTCGGCTTTTCCATCCTTGATTATCAGGACCCACTGAATCCCGACAGCTCTTTGATTGTCATACGGAGCCTTGTGCCGGGCGGCGCCGCGCAAGCTGACGGACGCTTGATCCCGGGGGATCGTCTCGTATCAGTCAACAATACTGACGTGGCTAATGCCTCCCTGGAGATTGCAGTGCAAGCCCTAAAAGGCGCTCCCAAGGGCCCAGTTAGAATCGGTGTCTGCAAACCTCTTCCCATACAAGACAGTCACTCTGACGGACCCTACTCGAGGAGGCCCTGAGTATCAAAATACTGTAGAAGGAAGGCTTGAACGTGTCCTGTAATCCTGTAGCGATTTTTGTATGAGTGACTTGGTACCTTATTTATCTGTGAAATTGAGGCGTTGTCTTACTTGAAAGCGCTCTCATGGGGGAACTGTTAGTCGTATATTGCGTTGTTCGTACACCCTGTTTCCTGTGAAAGAAAGCTTTAAGCACGGTTTTCGTTGAGCACAAGGCGCATGTATGTAAACTAGCGAAGATCTGAAATTGAATATTCAGCTCACAGTGTGTCGGGTTTTGAACTTAGCTGGATTGTAACGTGTACCACTGAATTATTTCGCGTCTGCTTCTTGAAAACACCGCTGTGATATCATTCATCCCTGTTGGGATGGTTGGTAATTTTTCTTTTGTTATTGAGTCATCGCTGTGAAACATTTTAGGGCACTACCTGAAGTACCAGTTATGTTCATCGTTTCTAGTTTCGATATGCTGCAGTAGGAGCTTTATTGGCGGGTTGCGATGAACTTTGTTTTGCACCCGCGTTGGCACGTATATGTACTGTACTTTAGTTGTAATGCAATGATATTTAGCGGTCTCAGAAACGTAGCTCTGGGACAGATGAGAGCAATTGGATTAAAGAAACTGTGGGTATCGCTTCATGCTGAATCCGGATGACGATTGAGGAGTTGTCGCACAGGAGTTCTGTGTATTTTTGGTGTGAAGCTTGTTTTACGTTTGCGAAAATACGCATTTTCTCCATTACGAGGTTACATTGAATGTGATTATTCCTCGAAAGCGTCATGAATGTCTCACGCACACGTCGGAATCTATGGTCACTATGTGTTCATGATATTCAAGAGTTCTAAATGACCTTGTGTCTTACGCACGAAAAATTTCATGCGGCGTAGATTTTCTTCCGATATTTTCGTGTGTGACCGTGATGAGATTGATGGAACCCGTTTTCTTGCAGTTACCAGTGAATTCGCTCTAGTCTGTAACAACAATGGAATCAACTGTGATGAGGCCCTGTGGCATTTTTTTCTTGTTGTGCCAAAGACAACTTTCGTTGGCCTCATGCATCCTGGCCTAGTGGCAGAGAGTGGACAGGAAATCCACTTAGTAAGCCCAGTAGATACTGGCTTGGGGCTACAGCAATCTCCGGACAGTAAATCGCTAGTCTTTTCAGACATGGTCCAAAGTGCCGGAGTTGCTGGTCATGAGGAAGCCTCTAGCATTTGGGGAACCGAAAAGCGTGTACTCATCCGGCGAAACTCAAATCAGGTTTGAAACATGAAATCTTCTTTGTTGTTGATACGGTGAGGAACTTTTTTTCTGAACCTATTTTCCAGGGCATAGGAATATCCCTTGTGGGAGGGAAAGTGGAAGTTAATGGAGGCGCGTCTTCAATTGCGGGCGTCTTCATAAAATCGATTTTATCTCATAGCCCGGCTGAGAAAACCGGGCTTCTATTCACCGGCGACAGAATCCTGGAGATTGACGGGGTTGATTTACGGAACGCTGGTTTTGAAAAGGCTACTCAAGCTATTAAGCAAGCCGGGAACGAAATTTCTCTCGTTGTTCAGAGTTTGAAGAACATTCCGCCTGATTCACATACCATGGAAGGAGCTGGTGAGGCCAGCCTCCGCTGCTCTTTGTCCAGAGACATATCCGGTCCACTTGGTAGCGGGTCGACATCACCTGTTGCCCCGTCGTCCCGTCGCGATTCTCTGATGCCCCCGTCGAAGGTGAGAGTACTTCGATAATTGTTTGATTGTTTGAATACTTTCGAGAACTGTTACTTCAAGAGTGAGTTTGATAAGCGGTGGAAGTCAGTTTCCTCGCGTTTACATGTTCATCTCGACGTTCAATGACTGGTACTTCATACTGTATTTAGAATTATTGCCCTGATATTCGCTGAAAGTCACCTTTCCATAAAAGAGTCTATGCTGTTCCATGGTCTACGAGGAATTCGACAGAAGTTCGCTGTTTCATTTCCCTTGCAACCGGAGCACCATTGGATCTGATGCTTACGTGTTTATCTACTAATTTGGTTCTTATAAGATTGCGTACTGGACAAATATCGAAGGTGTAATGAACATAATTTTTTGAAGGAATATAACTTTTCCTCCGAAATTTAGTGCACGAAAAAAAAGGAAGGCCCCATCAAGCAGTTTTTGAGCGATCGCAAACTTTTTTTTAACCCTGCGTGTGTTAGGTACATGAATTTTAACTCAATAAACCAAGAAAAAATATTCTAAGTTCCGTACTTCAGTTATGTTTCAACGAGTAAGCAAAGTGTGCACCGCACTTCTCTTCCGGATCCAACGTGAAGTCGTGGGGAACTGCAGCTGATGACGTTTTATGAGATACTCATAAAACTTATGACTCATACTCATTCTCCTCTCCGATTTGAAGCTTACTACGCGGAAAAAGCGTATGCCTGCTAGCTAATGAGGTTTTTCCGTTTCCTATGAAAGGACGGAAATGCCTCGGATGCTGAGAGTGCTGTAAGCGCCGAAACTGTTTCCCCGTCCGCGAGCGACACTGATTCCTCTTCTGACGAGGAAGAAGGCGGACGAACAACGTCTCGACGCGGAGCTGAAATTGATCGTATGAGTGCTGGTCACGTCAAGCTATCAAAAGCCGAAAAATTGCAGTGCAAGGAAGAGGAGGATGAGTTCGGTTATACAACGACCAAAATAAAAAAGAGGTATGTGTTCGGCTCTGCATTTGTTCTGCTGTGATTTTTAGTTTATTTGTATAAAACACGTTGCCCTGCTTTAGGTACCCACATGCCAACGGGCAGCTTCTTCTAATCAGCGTTGCACGCAATCCAAAGTTGGGTGGTCTCGGAATCAGTCTTGCCGGCCTGAAGGATCGATCACGTATGGGAGTTTTAGTTGCGGGAGTGAATCCAAAAAGCACTGCTTATCAGGAAGGAAAGGCGAGTATTGTATTTCAACATTGAGCCGGATTTAAAACACGTCTGGCATGCATCGAGGTCAACAATTGGTTACATCTGCGTGCGATTATTTCATGTACTTAGATCACGCCTTCGCATGTTCCATTGATTGCCTTGAGTCTTCTCGTCATGGGAAAAGCTTCAGGTTCCGAATTTTGAGCAACGGAATATTTTTTTATTAGTTTCTTGGTTCATAATTCAGCTACAGAGAGTCACTTTCCTATGTTATTTTTGCTTTACTCGAGAACTTTTCTTCCATTGGTTTTAGGTGCTCGTCGGAGATGAAATACTCGAGATCAATGGTACCGTTGTTCGTGGTCGATGCCATTTGAACGTGTCTTCCACAATTCGTCAGATACGCTCCTCAGTCGTTAAATTTGTGATTCTCCGCAAGCCCCAAGAAATCTGCTTGGAAGAACTTGCAGTTGGACCAATTTCCAACTACCCGGTGTCATGTGGAGTTCAAAATGTTCTTGATGCTGAAGCTATTTTATCATCATTGAACGAAAAATACAAGGTTTGCATCTGGATTGATTTGTGGATCGCGTTTGGAACATTCATTCATGTTTCCGCTTTGCGTTATCTAGGGAGTTAGAGCTATCCGAGTTCAAAAAGGCGACAGTGGTGGTGGTTTGGGCATCATGATCATAGAAGGAAAACATGCTGCGATGGGTCAAGGCATTTTCATTTCAGATATTCAGGTTAGTATAGTAGAGTTTTGTCCTGTTTCCTCTCATTGCCTGTTGCCGGTGGATTCCGAAAAAATTGTAGCTGGAACCTCGATGATCCAGACAAATGAGCTAATCTCGTCTGCATAATCAAAATTCCGGGATATTCAAGAACCTGATTTTAAATTTCGATCGTTTTCGTTCAAAGTGTAATTTTGATCCCATTGTAAAAATATGCGGGTTGTGGTATCAAGCTTCTGCCCGTAGTGTACCATTTCAGAAAATGATTTTTTAAATGATCTTCTGAAATCACGGATGCCATAGATTTGCAAATTTCAGTATTAGTTTGGCGGACTAAACCTTTAAAACGAGGAATCTGTCGGGATAGACAATTTTTAACAGTACTCAAGTTTCTAGGAGTCAATCTGCTATATCATTCATAATGAACAAAAACATGGACATTCTCTCCTAAATTCTGCGTAATTTTTTTTTTCAAGGAAATATTTTTAGAAAAGGAATTGACTGTGAAGCCTTTTTTTGGGTTCTTCGCACTTTGAAACCCGTCACCGGAATGAGAGTAAAATTCTCATTCCAAATTACCACTCTTCCAAGATTTAAAAATGTTTACAATCCCCCAAATGGAGATAAGTCACAAGAATCCAGATCCGACGACGAGTAATTGCGTTTGGCAATAATCTATTAATTTCTGGTACCAGGGAGCGATGTCATTTTATTTGTGGCCAAAATCAAACCGTGAACCCACGCCATGCTAGCGTGCGCAGTATTTGTTATTATTTAAAGAAAGTGACCGTAATTTTGAAGAGATTTTTTTTATCGGGAAAAGAAGAGGATGAAAGTGCTGCAAAATGTAGATTCTAGACATTGGGTCCTTCCGTTTCTCCTCTTCTAGTACCAACACGAAAGAGTATTTTGCCTCGAATCATCATCAATACAGAAATGTTTGAGGAAGAATCGGACTTGAAACTCGGGAGATTTACTGAGTGACTATTAAAACACATCTTAACACGATTCTTTTGGTTTCCAGAGATATAAACCTCCCACTCATTGAAGCAGGTCCTATAATTAAATGGGACGGAGAATTTCTTGGGCATAATAGATGGTTTCGTTTTCCAATGTTTCGTTACGGCTTGGTTGAATGAATAAATAAGGAATCCATCCTGCGAAGAAATATTTTGGTCCGCAACAAATGGAATTCAAAAACGCAAAACATGTACAGTATATATATTTTTAGGGAATGTGCGTTAACATTATTAAATCCGTATTTAATGCAGTCAATTTACTGTAATCGGAAGTAAAACGGGCCATCTGTAGCTCAACAATGACTCCCGCCAGAGAAGTGGATCATCCTGCTGATCTTCCGAGCGCTTATAAGGTGGATGTAAATGTCCCAAGATGACTAGCCCCGACTGTGAGCGTTTTTTGATAGCATAGAAATCTTGATGTTTTAATCATTCAAGACATAATGGATTTTTGAAGTCTCAAATTCAATGTGAATTGCATAATCCTTCTGACATCTGGAAGTTTTTATTTTACAGTATTTCTCAACCACTGATTCATTCACATATTGCTAAGTAATAAATGCAAGTTTTACACTACTCATGCCAAAAAGACACGACTCGAGAACGTTATCTTCACGTAATTTCCCGACTCTTCATGAGAATAGAGCCATAAAAGCAGTTCAAATGTCGTGGCTTGCGAATTTGTTTTTATTGGCGCAAAGGTTGAAACATTCACGCGGTAACCCTCAAGATGTTTTCGGCAGTTTGGAAGCTAGATCGACAAAATATCTCAGAAAATTGTATCCAGTAGCTGAACTTCAGTCGAAAGCATAATCTCGCGCGTTCCATCAACTCTCAGAAGCATAAATTTCGTCTACCTGTATGTGGCTGTAAGTCTTCGGTCGTCTGATATCTGATATTGTGCCCTGCTTATTCGAACGTGCTGCAAGATGTTTAGTAGATTTATTTGATTTTTTCTCGGAAACTCTTGCTACAATCCGCCTCTGTACATTCATCCTTTTTCTACCAACAGAAAGGTAGTCCTGCGGAGGAAGCTGGGCTTGCGATCGGCGACATGATCTTGTACGCGGATGTTGAGAACTTGATGGGTGCAGACTATGACAAAGCCGTGTCAATCCTACGTCGCATAACGGGAACAGTTACGCTTTACGTGTGCAATCCTCACACAGCCACCGCGAACTCGAACGAGCTTCAGCCCCCACGTGCCGTGTCGCCTGCCGTGCCCGGTAGTCCCGCCCGACCCGTGACCCCTGCTGGAACTCAAGGCACCCTATCGCCTGTCACTGCCAGCAGCCCCACCCCGTCTGGTAGCCGCAGTCCAGACATCGGGCGCAAGGCCGAATCCCATACTATTGTCCCTGGCAACGATGCGACAATCGAGTTGAACCTGACGGAGAAAACCCCACTCGGGCTATTGTTGATCGGCGAACGCGAGAGCCCGCTCGGAGGAGTATTCATCCTTGATATTCGTGCCAACGGTCTCGTCGCCAAAGACGGTCGCCTGAAAATTGGCGATCATCTCAAGGAAGTTGGCTCTGTTAACCTTCGCGAGAAAACCGCCAAGGAAGCCTATGAGGCCATTTGGCACACTTGTTCGCGCGGGAACAAGCTGTCTTTGCTAATCCATCGTCGCCACGCCGACGACGACAACTCCAATTGCTTTGAGGAGCTCACGTTTCAACTGTCGAAGAGGAAAGAAAAGAGTCTTGGGCTTTGTGTGGCTGCCTCAAAGTCACTCAAAGGCCTCCCAATCATCACGGAAATTCTGGACGGCTCGCTGGCATTCCTCGACGGTAAACTTGTCAAAGGGGACCGTATCATGGCTATTAACGGGGTTGACCTGACTGACGTGAAGCCCGAAAAAGCCGCGCTGTCTCTTCGAACCGCGTTCACGTTCGCTTCCCCCACTATGACCTTCAAAGTGCGTCGGCTGAGGAAACCATGAGGTAAAGTGGGGTTCAAGAACACATTGGAATTCTTGAATGAATGAAGGAGTGCGAACGGTGTTCTCTTTATAATTCTTCACCCTTGCTCCACTCGGCAGTTTTCGTCTGCTCACTGTGTTGATTCCCGCAGATTAGGTTGCAAAAATATTTTTGCTTCTTTATTTTTTATATTTGGATGACCAGTCTTCTCTTTGAGTTGCTTTTATACTCCATGGAGGATCCAGGATACTTTTCGTTACTGCAGCAGATGCTGTCCCCAATATGATGAAAAAATTTCATTCCAGTCCAATTTTCGATTGATTACTGTTTTTCGACCTCTCAGATCATTGAACACGATTTTTTCAACCCTCACCGTTGTGCTCTTGAGCCCGATTGACTTGTCATTACTCTTCTTCTGGCGCGCCCTTTACATGTGGGGGCCTTCTCGGAGTGCGAATGGGGCAATCGAAAAGCAAGGATCGCATCAATCCTGTCCGGTTTGACTTTGGATCCATCCATGGGTACCTTTGACGAGAAAGTATCGTAATATACCGAACATCTGTACTGAACATGAACAATTATAGTTTTTTCTCAATGGGTTGGTATTTAGTGTATCGTATTAGCTAGTAATATCCGCTATACTTCAAGCATGCTGTGATTAATGTCTGGCAAAGAAGTCGTGCGTGGAGTATCTGGTTGATATTACCCGGCCCCAGGTGTTTTTTCTTCATTAGCCAGTTTCTGGGGTATTTTTGCTGTGGAATTGTTTCCGAATTGCTTGTTCCAGTTAGCCTTGAATGATTTCAAGTGTATTGCTGGATTTCCTGAAAACTGCGAGGTCTGATGATTCTGGGATATTCAAGTGTGGAACAAAATAAACGGACAGTGCGTAACTTGAATGCGCCTTCCTTTCTTGTAAATATTCAAAAATATTTCCTCACGCAGGTACACAAACCCTGAACTGACTTGCTCCATGCTTGCAGAAGACGCATGGAAACATTTATTCCGCGAATGATTTTTCAAATCAAGCAATCGAACTCATTTAAATTCTGAACACGCTAGACGTGTCGGTCGTGTCCAGCAAATATCTATAGATATACGATAGTGCCTCAATTATGGGAGCTAACGACCGGTTGCCTTCGCCCAGATAATCCAAAATGGAAAACTGTACTCGATGACGAAAAAATGTAGCCAGCAGCGAAACGGCGTGTTTATCGGCATTCCCGCAAGTCTCCAAGAGCAACCGATTTCCCTGATGCCCACATGCTGAGCGGTATCAGCCTTTCTAAGAAGAATTCATCGTTGAGCGTATACGGTAGTTGATTGCCTCCCCTGAACAAGTTTTCCAAGTTATTTTCCTTGAACCCGGTACTTCAAAGTTTAAAAATTAATTTTACTTTGAAATATGAAAGTAGGCCGAAAGGAAATGAACCGTTGTGACATCGAAATTAATTTTACTGATGGGTTTTCTCTCGACTTCAAATTTTTCAAACGATGAAATTGATGTATGATAAAAGCCTCTATATACTGTAATTCAATTACCTACTTACTGTGTACTTCGCAAGTGTACAGTACGTGCTCTGTTGATGTTATTGCTCAGATAAATATAACCATAAGTTGAGGACATGTCGTCATCTTCATGATGTATGCCCAGCACGCTGGTACAAAATCCTTGTGAAGAAGTTGCTTATTTCAGTTATTTGGCACTCAGGCAGTAATTCCTATGGACCAATGTGTCTGCAGTACAGTATTCAGTTCATGCATGGGCACCCACCAGAACTCAACCCCCCACCCCATGCGCTTGGCGGTCCGCCCCCTGTGCTTGGCGGTCTGCCCCCGCCAAGGCTCATAGTCTTTCCTTGGGTGACAGACCCACACCAGCAAGAAGCTAGACTCAGGGGTGCCCAAGATACGGCCCGCGGGCCAGATCTGGCCCACGGAGCACTCCTGTCTGGCCCGTGACAGTCACCCACCAGCCAAAAAATCCGTCAATTTTTTTCGAATCCTACAGGCCAATCCAACCCCTGAATAAAAAATTGTAGAAATCCTGGAAAAATCACTTACTTATTTTCTTTATGGCTCTTGCTACTTGATGCAAAATATATTTGCAATAAGAACTATTTAAAATTTTGGATTAATCATATTTCCAATTTCTTCCACTTGATCATTACAAAATTGAACAAAAATTGTGCAAGTAAGCTTTTTCCAACCTGTTATATGATCCTACCTGCTATTCAAAAATTTAAAGGCCAGATACCTTTATGAATTCTTGCAACAATATGAATGGTATTCAATTGATGCATTGATTGTCATTTAGAACCATTCTGAAGCATTCTTCTGCACAGCGCAAGGCATAACATTTTCAAATGGTAGAAAACAACATTCCTACATAATTCTAAAATAATCTTTGTCCTAATGATCTGGTGAATTCTGATTTCTAATCTCAGAAAATGACAAAGAATGGACTAAAATTTTCCATTTTTGCCTTCATCTGCTCTTGTCTACCACTCCCAAATGTGCAGGGATGGGAAAGCACAGTTGATTTTACATCCCACCAACATTGTAGATTGTCCAAGATTGATCATCCTCTTCATATGAGTCTTAGTATTGAACTCTCACTATAATCAGGTCATTCAATTGGAATTCTGTAACATTTGAATTTACCAGGAGGAGGTTTTATTTGGAAAGAGGAGATCCAAACTAATTGATTCCATTTTGCTCCTGCTGCTGCTCATTAATAGAAAACGTCTATAGCAGAGAAATCATCCAATTGAGCGCTTTCCCATCAAACATAATTTCTCAAGTTGTAATGAAAATTTTTTTAGATTTTTTATGAAGTTGTGTTTCAAATATGGGTGTGTTTCTCCTATGTTCATCATAGCAATCTTACTATCAGTTAAACATGTTAGCAAAGGCAGGGAATCCAACCTTAATTTGAGAATACATCTGTGAACTTGTGTAAAACTCCGTCTTGTACACTGGAAAACCTTACTGGGGGCTCATCCAAACCAAACCGTCTTCTCCGTCACAGTCCAAAACTTCTTCTGCCACATCACCCTATACAGAGCACCATGCCCCGCAACACCAATAACTCCAGGGCCACTGAGCGTGCCGCAGCCAAACTCCAGGTACTCCAATACCAAGCAGGGCTGAGGGCAGCGCAAGCACCCGGAGATAGGGCGGACACCAACTCCATCACAACTGACCCTGACGCAACCCTGCCACTCCCAATGGACAACGCAGACCAACAGGGATCAGCCTTCCAAATGTCAACACTGGACCCATGGGACTTCCTGACACTGCAGACGCTCCAGCAATTTGCAAGCCTATACCTGCCAGAATGACCCACAACACTGGAGTGACAGGCGCATATTGACTTATTCAACAAACTACAGCAGGTCTCACCGGTGACGTTAATGATGTATCAACTCTCCAACAGCCCAGTAGCCAACACACCCACGCCAGTGGGACCAACCTACCTCCCGCCACCAACAAGCCATTGCGTACATGACCACACGGCCCCGGACCTGCCCAAACAACTAAAGGAGGAGGACTTCAAAGACTTTGCGCTGTGGCTACGTGAACTACTCACCATCAACAACATCCGGGAGACCTAATGGGTAAAATGCCTCATCCATAACACCCACTATGACGTTGCCAAAACAGCCCGGCAAGTCTATGCGGCGGGCGCCATCACCTTTGACAACATGGTCCGGGAGATCACCTTGCAGCACCCAACGCCCCGTTTCAAGCGCCTGAGGCATTTTTGTCAACTACAAGTAAGCGCAACCAAAACATACCGCAGATTTGGGTGCCGGCTGCAGGCCAACCTGGAGCTGTTCCTGGCCATTCCACACCACGCCATCACAAGCAAATACCTTGCCGTCATCCACCCTATGCTCTGTGAACAACTCATCAAAACAGCAAACCCCAAAATTGCGGAGAAACTGGTCAACAAACTGAACAATCACGTCAAACTACCGTGGGGAGAGCTGCTCCAATATGCTGACTGCCAATGGACCCTGCAGCTGGCCCAGCAGGGGGGCCTCCTCACACAAACCAACAGCAACAACCTGACAAAAACAACATGCACATCCCGCAGAAATATGGAATACTGCGACTGGCACAAAGTGGCAGGGCACCAAAACACCACCTGATGCTCCCGGGTTTATCATACAGAGCATCCTGCGTATCAGAAGTGGGAGAAAGCGGCAACACCTGGATCCCCAGGCCAAGCACCCGACAAGAAACCTGCGGCATGCATATCCTGCAACCAGACAGGACACATGGTGAAGGACTGTGGACAGAAGACTGGAAATGCCAAGAGAGCGCAGTAGAGGTGGTCCTCTACGCTCTACAAACCAAGACCACTACAACTGCTCCAATCCTGGTTGTTGTGCATATCCAGCGGCAAACCTGCAATGCCCTCATCAATACAGGGGCCTTACACTCATTCATTGACAAGGCCTGGGCCCAGGTGCTAGCCCTCAACACGTCAACCAAGCAAGTATCAGTGTCAACAGCTGGACAAAACAACAACATCGCCCTCACCGGCGCAGCAACAACCAAGCTACAGATTGGCAACAAAATCTACAAATCCAAGCTATGGATCCTACCCCAGGCGGGGTTCCCATCATTCTGGGATGGGACATGCTGGACCAAATGCCCATTACCATAGGGCTGGAGGGAAACCGCCTGTATATTGGGTACCAAGGCCACTACAAACCCAATGCTGACCCTACCATGGCCATTGGAGAGGGAATCATCTTCATTGACGGCAGCCAGCAGGAAGGACATCTTGTGCAGAAGCTACTCATCCACCATGCTGCCGCCATCCACCAGTGGTCCAGAAGGCGCGGCTGCTTCCTGGAACAATCAGCAAGCCTGACAATGGCCAATTCGACGCCACAAGCGTCCCGACCATTCCAACAAACACAGGACAAGCAGGGACCATTCACCAAAATTGTTACGGAATATCTCCAGGCGGGACTCATTGAACCTGCCGTGTCAAGTTACAATTCCCCAGCCTTTCTCACACCAAAGAAATGCAACAACAGCACGGCTCCGGCATCAAAATGCTGGAGATTGGTGGAAGACTACCGGAAGCTCAACTCCATCCTGGTCCTGGATCATTATCCAATGCCTATAATCCAGGACCTATTGGATGCACTGGGACGGGACAATGCATATTTTTGTACATTTGACCTACACGCAGCGTTCCACCATCTCCCCATCCTACAACCCAACTGGCATAAGACAGCATTCTGGACCCCCAAGGGCCTGATGCAGAATGCCGTCCTTCCATTTGGACTGTGCAACAGGCCTGCCCTACTTCAGAGTGGCACAATTACAGAGTGGCACAATTCTTTCAGAGTCAGCAGTGATCTTCCTTTGATGACCAGGACACCTTAGTCCTGCTTTGTTGAAACCATCACAGCAGATCCGTTTGTAACATGGCCTGGAAATGCATAATATAAATACAAGATCAATGCTATGTAAAGTGTCCATAAATTTTAAGCTTGCATCTACAATCACTAAACACCTACAATCAATGTTGTCTTATGCATGGAGCTTCTCAAGATTTGTCAAGGAGGTAGTCTTGGCATTTGGAAATCTTCTGAATTGCTTTCTGTTCTTCTTCAGATATACATTGGGATGCCTTGATGCGGATCTTGCCAGGAATGGACCATTTGGAAGCATAGAATGCTGAATTTCCTTGAATATCACCATCTGGAAAGATTAAAAAGAAGTTGGAGTTTGGTATAGAGCTTACACAAATATAGACATCCAATAACCATGATTCATTTATGGATTAATCCAAGAAATCAGAAGTGCAACACAGCTCTCATTTCAGCAATCCTAAATAAATTAAAGGGGAGAATAAGTTTTGAATCCATAC